AGTTGCGCGAGTTCATACACACTGGCTATTTTTTTCCTTCCAACAATTTGTTAGGATGTGAGGGTCAGTCGTGCGGTGCGGTACTAATGGGGTCATTTTCCGGCGCCAGTTCCGGGCCGAACCGGGATGCGCGATGCGCGACACCCGGGATCCCACGCCGGCTGCGCCCTGCGCCCGGCCGGCCAGGCCCGGCCCGGCCCGCCCGCGGCCCATCTTGTCGTTTTGAGGCCACGCCGCGCCGCGTCGGGGTGCCGCCGTTAGGGCCTAATCCTGCTGCAGCCGCAGGAAAATTGCCGCGAAAAAGAAACCTGCCGCTCGCGGTACAAAGGGTTCGCGGAGACGCACGGCTATGGCCCGCAACCGCAGCAGAAGGTCCCGAAGGAAGAACCTCAGCAGCACCACAGTCCTGCTTGTGGTCCTTCATCGCCACCATCCCGGGTGTGAAACCGGTGCAAACCGGGAACTGTAGCACATGACGTTGGCGATTCGGACTAAGGAATGACCACTCGGCGTATCTGGCAACTTTAATCAACCCGTATAATTTTATCAGCCGACGGTTTGGTCTTCGTGTCGGCAAAGTGCTTTTTTTTGTTGCGCCATTTAAATGCCGCGCTATAATCACTGTCTGATCGAGTGGCGAGGGGTTCAGGTCTTGGCTTAAGTTTTCCGGTTTGGGCAGAGGAATATAGAACAATGGACTACCGCTCACAACGGGCCACATTCCTTCTTTTTCTCTCGAATCGACTGCGAATTTTGAGTCGGACTGGCATGCGGTTCCCCCTGCTGGTTCCCCACCGCGACCTTCTCCATGGCTAGCCACGGTCGCGTGTCTGCGGCGCGTCAACTGAGGGGGCAATAGATCTGAGGATGTTCCGATTGGGTTGATCGAGCTCGCAACACCGACGGTCCGCCCTCAGAGGTGGGGTGAGGCTCCCAACGTCACAGGCCGACCTGCCCCAAGACGGTGCGTGGCACCTCAAATACTTAAAAGTGCGTGACGAAAACATGTAACGGACGCGATCACCCTGGCATCCCCAGAGAGCTGCCCGAAGGGTAGGCAGCCAATGTGTGTCCGTGCTCACCCTGTGCTTACCCCTCCAGGGCCCCGCGGGACCCGTCGGCGGCCGGCCGCCGGGCGTCCGCGCGTCCGCGCAGCCCGCGCCGCCCGCCCGGGCTGGACAGAGATCAAAACGATAGCCGGCACGGCACGTAGCGTGAGAGGGGGTTAGACAGAGAAGGAAAAATTGTGACGGCCGTTGTTTGAGGGTCAGGGTTGTCACGTGACTGTGAATCGATACGCCCCGGCGTGCGGGCCGCACGCCGCACCGGCCGCGTCAATATAACGAGCAGAGGCCAGGACGACGCGCACGACACACTGTGCAGGCCGAAATTGCTTTTAATATCTCTGTTGGTCTGATGACTCGAAATTATTGTCAGGGGGAACGGGGGTTGTGTTGTGGCACGCATTCTCCACTATCCTTGGCATAGTAGTGTCCCAGTGGCGAATAATTACCGCTGTGTGTGTATATTGAGTTCACGCGTCGCCGAGGTGCACGTACGACTACTGTCATTATCGTTGCCCTTCATGGAGCCGTCCCGCCAACAGCCGAAGGCACCTTCTTAAGAGCCCAGCGGGGAGCGACTTATTGGCCCGGTCAAATGTTTGTGTGCTGACAGGCTCATCAGCGGTCGTCAGGCTGGCCCGCGGCCAGGAGGGGACCGAACGGGGCGGACCATGGGCGTGAGCGCGTCCCGGAGCGAGAGAGAAAGGAGGGGCGGGCGG